GATAGTATTGGCGACTAAACTTTGTTTGGTCGTTGAAAGTGACTACATTTCGCTACTAAATTATGTTTAGTCGGCAAATGTTATGTTTCCGCCACTAAAACCTTTAGTCGCCGAATGAGGCTTTTTGGCTACTAAGTTGTTGTGGTCGGGGAAGGTGTCACCTTTAGCTACTAAATAATTAGTCGCCGAAAGTACACTTTTAGCTACGAAACATTATTTAGTCGGCAAAAGGTGTATTCCGTGACTAAAAATTTAGTGGCCAATTGTTTCTTTCTCTCATTCTCAATTGTTTTAGCTACTAACTATTTAGTCACAAAAAATTTTTTTGTTTTGTTTTTGCTACTAAATTATTAGTCACCAAAACATTTGATTACATATTTGGCTACCAAAATATTTGGTGGCCAAATACTTTTTGTTTTTGTTTTTTTTTTTTTTAAGAAAAAAATTCTAAACAACCTGTATCCATTTTTAGTACAACTTGTATCATGTATAACCAATATAATCCATCAACACTAAATATATTATCAACCATTCAAGCATTCAACAATGTGCACACATTTTAGCTCCAACCATCCAAAACATTAATATTGAACGTCCAATTCTATATATAATACAAATTCCATACGAACCAAGTCTAATCCAACGTCAATAATTTCATTTCATACATAATACAGGACTAACCAAATTAATTAACAAAAAGGACATATGTACCACAACCTAAATTAGCATATATGCTAATTTCTACCATGCCAAATTAGCTTATATTTACCACACCAAAAAAGTAATTTGTACAAACCACTATATATACGGGTAGACGTATAAAAACAATGCCCTTCCGTACTTGTCAAAAAAAATCATATCCACATTTGTATGTCTAAAACCATCTGCAAATAAAAAAAAATATCAAAAGTTATGTTTATGGCAATTAAAGGGGCCACAATCAACAAAAGCAATAAACAATTTTCCCAAAATATAACTGTACATAAACTAATAAGGAAAGAGTTAAACAAACTATAGTTTAAGATGGTAGTACCAAAATAGTTGCCCACGACATGGGCATTTCATGTTCTACCACATATAGATGAGAATTCTTTCTTGGATTTGATCGAAAAAAATTTCAAAAATATATAGATGATAATATAAAAAATTTCAAAAATATAAAAATTTCAATGGTAGTATTAGGGCATATACGATGTATTTTTATATATATGTATTTATATATAGATGATAATATTTTAATTTCAAAAATGCTTAATATCTCTCAAGTTGAACATAAGCAAATTTTGCTGCTATTTGCAACAAATCATTGCCAAAGAGATTGATTGTATGAACCATTAGCATAAAATTTCAAGGACTTTTTTCTTAATAAATCAAAGGAGTGATTTCTTAAGATTAATTACATACCATAGTGGAGCAAATGTAGACGACAAATCAAGAAAAGGATATGGCCACCTGTTGCAAATAGTTACAGTTATAGGCAATTAGAAGTGAGATTTTTGTAATAAAAAGAAAAAAGTGTTAAAAGGGAGACGAGTTTACCAAAGCGAAACGCAAGCATGCACGATCCATTTTAAAATGTACTTAAATAGCAGTCCACAGGAAAAAGTATGCAATTCGAAGCCAAAAGAACCGTTGGAAGAGAAAGACAAGGCTAAAAGATTAAATTGTTAAGCAAAATAGGAATTGAAATCAAGATAAAAGAACTGCAACATACCAAGCAATTCAAAGCAGTGTCGCCGAGCAGAAAAACAGCATTGATGGTATGCATATTTATAATCAACTGCCACGTCAAAGATTAAGCACACTGTTTAGAAGACAAACAGAAGTTTTGATGATGAATCTTATGGATTTGCATGACATCAACTTTGCACCATATGGATTTTACTCAAGGAAGCTAAACGATTTAGAAATTGACACATAAGAGGTTGATTTCATGTAGTTATATGTATATATATATCTAATGATATTAAAAGTTTTATGTTATTGAAACAGAAAATACCCTGCATCTATGAGACTACATAACCCTATGCTAAATTATGCAAAAATGTTGCTTTGATACAATCTGTCGTATAGTTATAGTTGCACAATTTGACTAGGTGTGGATTTTATTACTTACAAAATTCAGATCGTAATCTTTGATTGCTTGAAACGGTACAATTATGAACCAAAAGACGCAGTCCGTGAGCATCACTGCACCTGCATTCATCTATTGAAGAGAAAAATAAAAGGTCAATAACTATGTGCAACAAGGCTATTATGTTTCTTATTTTGTGCTTAATTAATCAATTTATTATTTTTCTTTTTCAATATTGAGCTGAATGGAACTTTATCCAACCACTTGGGATTATCTACATGAATCATATTTTTCCATTTCATGCAATTCTGAATTAAATCACTAGCTGAAGCATCTTTTCTTTTTAACACATTATAATCTTAGTAAATCAATATCTTCATTCTGAAATAGGAAAAAACTATGATACAATTACTGGCTTTTAGGGGTTTACCTGGAAAACTATTTGAAAGATATAACCCCAAAATCTTGCAGTTTGGCGAACTTGATGTTCTTGATTGGATTCCAAGTGTTTTTCCCCATTGGATTCATTTGAATTAGTGCCTTGCTCGACATCAAAATCCTCGGTTCTATCGCCACCAACTTTATTATGATATTGGTAGCATCCATACATGGAAAGCAATACAAGTGCAGTTATGCAAGTGAAGTCCATGAGCAATGACATATAAAAAGAAATCGATTCAAGCATAAATCTAGAGTGATATGTGTCGTATAAATTTAGGAGGGAGGGGGGGTAAGAATCACATAGAAGGATGTATAACATACCCCAAATAAATGGTTATCAGTGAAAAAGTCCACCTGTCCAATATCCGATTTCACCAATTAAATCCTATGATAACCAATGATGAAATTGAACCACATGTAATAAACTTAATACTGGAATTAAAAATAAATAAATAAAAACTACCTTGATGTGATGCATATTCTAATATTTAACCTATTTTATGCTATCATTCTACTCAAGTATTCTTTTGACTCTGTCTCAATAAAGAAAAAGAAAAGAGAGAAAAAGAGAGAAATCTCCTTTTAACCTTTTTTTTTTTTCTTTCTTTTGGCATGTATTTCTCTTCCTAGTAATTTTCTTCAGGCAATTTGATCCATACTAGCATACAGATATTCCTTAAAAGAATCCCAATATTCTGAATTATGGACCAAAATTAAAAATGTCACTGGAACCAAATTCAAAGTAGATTATTTAAAAATCAAAATTTATGGAAAGCGTCCACAATGTTTCTAAACCATGCTTCACATTAATAGCTTTAATCGATCTCCATGTTCTGCAATCCATCAAAGATGAAGATGGATACCCTTGTCCCATTCACAAGTTTCATAATTCATAAATAAAAACTAAACGCTCCACTAGGCCATTAGAAAACATGCAATGACTAAAGTTGCTTCAAAAGTCGCTCTCAATTTTCCCTTGTCAACATGATGATTGACTGAAACACCAGTCACACCACCAAAGAAAATATTGTTGCATCATGCCAATTCAAAGATTATCAGTAACATATTAAATTATTGACATGTTTTGGTGAATTTTTGCTTTCTTACAAGCTTTCCCATGTGTTTTCCATCATAGGAATGTCTAGCTAATGTAGTTTTCCATGTATTGAACAGAATTTTTCGTCTCATACATTTCTAAATAACAGACTAGAGGTCTATCAACAGCTGTTTATCATTTGATCAAGTCAGTACAAGAGAAAACAAGAAAATAAATTAGGGCCACTTTCAGCTTTTTCTAAACCAGTGACTTATGTTCTATAGTTTTGAGATGATAGTTTTCTGCAAGGAATCTGATGTAATATATTAGATTGTCTCAATTAGAGCCCTTATTCAAAGAATTACTACGCCAACAACACAACCGTTTCCTATTGTATGAGAGGATTCAAGAATACGGTCTAGAAAATTCGAAGATCTTCGAAGAGCCTTGAAGAAAACTCGAATAATCTAGAAATGATAAGAGGCTTAAATTATTCAACAATCACAACTAGGAACACAATAGCAAAGAGATGATGGAGATAAGAAATTGGGTGAAGAAGAAGACAAAGTAGTTACAGAGAAAATAATGGCAAGGCTCTCCCATGGATCTCCCATTTTCACTCTCAAGGTAGATAATGGAGAAAGGAAATTAGTTCTTTCCCAAGAAATATCTCTCCAAAATCCAACCCTTATAAAGCTATGGGTGGGTGCTATTTATAGGGGCACCTCATGATGTAGGATGGAACTCATGTGTAAGGCACATGGGGAATATTCTGTCTAACCACCTTATCCGAGGAGGTGACCTATCTGAGGATGAGGAAAACCCTTGAAGAGGAGATCAATGTCACGACCCGCCCCTAAGGGTTTAGCACTGTAACCGGTCAGTAATCCGTGATTACCGAAGGCCTGCTTAATAGTAATAACAGTAATACAGAGTATAGGGGCTGGCGGAAGCCAAAACAGTAAATGAAAGATGTCCAATGAGCTGTGACAGTCTGTATGCAAAAAGACTTTTTATAACCTATTCACATTCGAAACAAAAGCAGTATGTACATACATCAAATATAGGCATTTAGGTTAGGGACCAAATCCCTAACATAACAGTACAGTACAAGTCTATACAGTATTACAAAACAAAGACAGAAGGGTGAACTGAGACACCCCAAAATGCCTAAGCTTGATCACCCTTGGAACCTCGCAGTGAGGCACGTTGGTTGGCTTGACAAAAAGGGAGTTTAACCCAACGCTCCTAGCTCCGATCCAGTGCCTGGACACCTACATATATATATATATAAACAGTGAGCTAAAGCCCAGTGAATAACAGTTGTGTAAAGAGGTTCGGAATGAATGTCCTTTCAGTCAGTAAACAGTCATATAAACGGTCATATTGGTCATTTAGAAACCATAGCAGTTTAACGTGGTACATCCAATAGCAAAATAGTACAGTAGGTCTTGAAAGACCGAACAGTCAGTTGATAGCCATCATAACAGTAAACAGTAATGGTTCCAAACATGGGAATCGACAGAGATCTCTGTGACAGTAGCAGTAATAGTAAAGTAACAGTAAATTGCTATGGATACCACGGATACAGTTCATAATTAGGACAAACATTCATTCAATAAGAAATATCATTTCAGAAAGCGGTACAGTAGTTCATTCAGAAAACATTCATGATTGAACATATCTTCACAACATTGTTACTCACAGAGTTCTGGGCTACAGATAGGCTAGTGCGCGTCCTCGGATGCCAACCCTACATAGTTACAGGATGAACACACACTAAGTTGCACGTTTGGGAAACAACTTAATCCCTAACTTGACTCGGCGTAGTTCTATAGCATTATCCTCATTAAGATGCCTTAAACTAGGCCTAGGAATGCCTAGGATGGAATGAGGATGCAAAGATGCACTTTAAAACACTTTTCAGAATTTTCAGAAAACAGGGGTCTCGCTCGAGCGTGGATTTCTACGCTCGAGCAGACATGCAGACAAAGGAGCTCCGCTCGAGCGTGACTTTCCCTGCTCGAGCGGACTATAAAAGTACTGGATGCATGAAATTCATGCTCGATGGGTGCTCATCCTCTACTTGAGCGTGCATTCCCTCGCTCGATCGGACTGTAAGCACATGCAAAGTACTGGATGCACGCATTTCACGCTCGAGTGGTACTTTCCCCGCTCGAGCGGACTGCATGACCTCTGAGTGTACGCTCGAGCGTGGGGTTCCCCGCTCGAGCGTGGATCCATAATGTGGAATTTCTAAATTTGTCTCCAAGCATGAAACTCAACAATTAAAGCATCGAATTCAATCCTTTTGGGCTAATTTTTTGGAAAACACTTTAAAACTCATAATATGACATGTTTCAAAGATCAATTTGAGAAATCAAAGCCCAAAGGTAGTTCAATTGAACACAAATTTCAAGGAGCTTTTATGAACAAGACTCGAATGTAACATGCATGAGCTTAAATGAATTTAAAGCTTCAAACACAAGACCAAATGAGCCAATCCTTTCAAAAACAAACTGAATTCATGGACCATAGCTAGAATATGGACATGCATGTGAGGATTTCCATGAAATCAACCTCAAAACTCAACAATGTGAACATGCATGCATGATTTACTACTCAATTCAACATATTAAGCTAATTCTTGACTCTACTCTTCAATATATCATGAACCATGCAAGAACTAACTTAAATACAAGTTCAAGAAAATGGTTCCTCTACCTTATGCCTTGAATTCAAGATATGGAAGCTCAATTATGCAAATTTCCTTCAACTCTCTTAATCTCTAAGCCAAAACAAGATGAAATCAAGCTTTACTCCTATCTCTCTCTCTCTCTAGTCGATTAGGCTCAAGAAATGGCTGAACACAATGCTAGAAATAAAGCTCAAATGTGTTTTATGAAGTCGGCCACTAAGTGGCAAAATGGTGATTAAGGCCAACTATTGTAACTTAGCTTATTTAATCCAATTTAGTCATTCAAAATCAAATTCCAATCAAATTTATCATAAAATCACATAAATTCCAATTAGCATAAAACACTAATCAATTTTAGATTCGGCCGCCGATAAGGCCTTCAATTTACAGTTCGAAACTTAAAACATGAACAAATAAATCAATGACAAACAGAGAGAAATGCATTTAAACTAATACACTCAATCAATCAGTTCAGAATGTCAGTCAAATCAGTTACTTAATCGTGTTCAGTCACAGTTTAGCAGTAATCAGTGGTATTATCAGTAAATAGTGGTGAGGGTTGTCACAGTCTCCCCTTCTTACAAGGAGTTTAGTCCTCCAAACTCGAATTACCTTCATTTTGGAAGAACATTGGATCCAGAGGGAACAGTTCAGGATATCTCTTGATCACATCGTCTTTCTTTTCCCATGTGGCATACATGCCACCATGGTTTTGCCAATCAACTTTCACTAACGGAATTTCTTTGTTCCTTAACTTCTTGATCCGTCGGTTCACAATCTGAATAGGTCATTCTTCATAAGTGTAGTCATCACTTAGCACTACATGGATAGGCTCAATAACATGGAAGGGATCCCGGAGGTAATCCCTTAACATAGAAATATAGAAGACGCTGTGCATATGCTCCATTTCAGGAGGAAGTGCTACTTGATACGCCACTGGATTAATCTTTTCAATAATCTCGTACGGTCCGACATATCTCGGCGCTAACTTGCCTTTAACCCCAAAACAGGTCTGCCCTTTTATCAGTGTCACTTTAACAAAAACATGATCACCTACTTCGTACTCTCTGTCTCGCCTTTGGACATCCGCATAACTTTTCTGTCGGCTTTGTGCGGTTTTCAGTCTCTGTTGAATCAGTTTCACTTTTCCAGTGTTTTCATGTACAATTTCGGGCCCAAGCAAAGGCCCATCTCCAACTTCTGCCCAACAGATAGGAGATCGACATTTCTTGCCATATAAAGCCTCAAAAGGCGCCATACCAATGCTCGAGTGAAAGCTGTTATTGTAGGCAAATTCAGCTAGAGGTAAATGGCTTTCCCAATTTCCTTGGAAATCAAGGACACACATTCGCAGTAAATCC